CACTTGATTGTCGTGTTCGGCTGTTAACTGAATACCTTGATCAGGCCAATTTTTTTTACAAGTAAATGGAACGTAATGGAGCCATTGCCAAATGACTGAACTCTTGCTGTATTTTGTCTTGACATAGGAACAAATTAGTAGGCCTATGAATACTATTGTGTTGAACATTCAAATCTGATGTTCAGCCAACCTCGAAGTGTCAGAGCAGATGCTTATTGATGATAAAATTAGGAAAAAAACACATATAAGAGAGAAGTTCTGTTTTCTTATGATAGTGATATTAACCATCAAAAAACACACTGGCTTTCAAATGTTGTGTGCGTGTTTAGTGCTGACACTGGCTCAATATATATATATATATATATATGTTGATTAACTCTCAACACAGGCACGAATCTGTTGTTGTTTTTCTGTTGCAAAAGAACAAAAAATGCTTCAGCAGGTATATGCAAGTTACTAAAGTTTACATACAGTAGAGATTCAATTTTGACATTAGTGGTGGATTTTTCCCTTGATTATGGAATAATTACTTCAGGGATTGTACATTTCAAGCTTAATTATTACACATGCTTAGCCTGGGGATCTAAACAGGTCTAGTGTGAATAAAGACAGTCCACACTGACTGGCTTTGGTTTCAGGTCAATGAATCAGGTTAAAGGACTTTAATGAGAGAGGAATGAGAGGATGCTTGTTTGGTTTTTACCTGACATCTTTGAAAGATAGATGCCATGATTATGGCCAGGATAATTATAAAATATGATTCTCTAACAGCAGTCAAGTTGTCATTGTTTGTGTCAAACAATTTGTAAATTTGTTGTAACAACAGGATATCATGACTTACTCTGCTCAAAGTGATCCTCTGAGCACAAGTCGTTTCTGACTTTTGGAAGAGAATCTCTTCAAGAGATGTTGTTGCAGAATCACGTGAACAATTTTAGGAAATGCTTTTTTTTATTGGTTGTTGCGTTAAATCTTACAGTGCTATTTTCTGATTGGCTAGCCTTTGTGTACCCCTTCCTTTTTTTGATTGTTTGATAAGTGACAGGCTCGAGATGAGAGCAGGGGAGACTCGCGCGGCCGCGTTCTACAGTGAGAGTGGCGCAGCGGGTCGGGCACGCCCCGAGCCCCCGGGGGGCTGACGGGAGGAGCCCAAAGTTTCGGGACCCCCGAGGCAGTTCCGCAAAGGCCCCCTCGGCGGAGCCACCCTCGAAACGTCCCACGAACCCACTATTTGTTCGACCGACCACCGCTTCCACAGGGCGTCCGGCGAATGCCCATGCACGCCCCTGTTCCACGAACCAACTATTTGGCCAATAACCCACTATATTTGCCAAATGTCATGGGACCACCCCCCGCCCACTCCCGGGCCACACCCCCGTCCCACGAATACCCACTATTTGTCCAATAACCCACTATATTTACCAAATGTCCCAGGACCACTCCCGGGCCATGCCCCCGTCCCACGAATCCACTGTTTGTCCAACAACCCACCATATTTTTTAAAAGTTTTTCCGCAGTTCATTCAATATGCTGCAATTGGACGCGGTCCCACCGGCAATCTATTGAATGAGGTTTCGGGTAGTGTATTTTTTGGACATTTTAATTAAAGTTCCTGTCGTGAAAAAAACTATTTTACTGCACTCAGGAGGCCCCCGGGGTCCGTAGCACCAAGCGCTGTCCCAAAATTCCACTGTCCGCGAACTCACTATTTGTCCAATAACCCACTATTTTTAAATATACTAACCCCGGCCTTCATGCAATAAGCTGCAATTGGACATAATCCCACCGGCAATCTATTGAATGATGATTCAGACAGTTTATTTGATGAGGACATTTTATTTAAAGTTCCTGTCATGATAAAAACTATTTTACTGCACTCAGCTGGGGCCCCTGAGTCCGTAGGACACCAAGCGCCATCCCATAATTCCACCGTCCACGAACCCACTATTTTTATAATGGCATAAATGCTACGTGGGATGTCCATATCTCAGCTCTGGAAGGGTCTAGAGACTCTATTTTTGCACTCAGGTCTAAGTCTCATGGCCCTCTATCAGAATCCAGAGTTTTGAGAAGATTGGAGAAACTCAAAATTTCGACCCCAAAAAAAAAAAACTACAGTGTTACCCCTGTCGTTTTTTTTTTTTTTGGTGTGAAAAAATAAGTTTCTCCAATCTTCTTGAAACTCTGGATTCTGATAGAGAGCCATGGGACTTAGGTTTTCCTGGATTTGGTACCTCAAACCAGTTTCCCAGATGACTGCCTCTGCACGTTTCTATGTGTGGGACTGAACAACATCACTCTAGCGCAGTTGTCTGGGGAACCACCTCAAGGAAGCTTTGCCCAATTTGTGGAGTGGGTGCTGGTATCCTGCGGATCATCCTTGACTGTCGATGACGTCACCAGCCCCACTCCAACGCCCGAGACCGTCCAGCCCGAGACCGTCCAGCCCGAGACCGTCTGCCTGAAGGGTCTTCACCATTCTGGCCACGCCCTCAGTCTGCTCCGCCCTGCCAGCTTCCTGCTCTAATTCAGCCATGCCCTCTTCAGCCTCCAGGGCGCCCACCCACCGCCCCCCCACCCCATTGATGTTCTACGGCGCGAGGTCGTGCCTTTGTAAAGGGGGGCGTTCTGTATTCGTCTCCACCATTCTGTCTTCGTCATCTTCACTACACTTCCCAGCATCCTCTTATCTCCACACCTGAACTCACGCCCACAATCATCCACCTGTTCATCGCCCTGATCATCTGTGTCACCTGCCGTCACCTTGTTAGTGTTCATTTTGTATCTGTATTTAGTTCTGTAATATGTTTCATTGATAGTGTGTGTAATCTTCTGCCAGTCTTCCTTGTACCTGTTTGGAGTTTTTGAGCAAATGTTTTGTATTGGAGCTTTGTGTCAGCCTCAGCCTGTCTTCATTTCACACTACACCGTGACAAATCACAAAAAATGTCAAACTCCCTTTTTAATCACACACACACACTCTCTCTCACACACACACCAACACACTTTCTCACACATACGCACACGAGCACAGACACGCACACACACACACACACACACACACATACTTTCAAACAAACACACACTTGCATGTTGAATGGTTTTCTAAAATATTAAATATAAATTTGATTCTGATTGGTCCTCTTCCATGCATTCGAAGTGCTGATTGGCTCATGTAGATAGAACCTTATAGAGCCAAGTTAGAGTTCGACTTTGTAGATAGAACCTTTTTGTTTTTTCAATAAAAATTCCCACAATGAACACAACTTAAAAAAAACATCACATAACGTAAATAAGTTGTCACAGAATAAGAATATGTGAATAACTCAATTTTGACAATGTCAGATAGAACCTTATAATTCCAAAGAGACGACTATCCATGAAACATAATCAAGAACCGACAAGCACACACTGAAACAGAGAGAAATAAATACAGATACAAAATGAACACTAACAAGGTGACGACAGGTGACAGATGATCAGGACGATGAACAGGTGGATGATTGAGGGAGTGAGTTCAGGTGTGGAGACGAGGATGCTGGGAAGTGTAGTGAAGATGACAAAGACAGAATGGTGCAGACAAAAGGCTTGTTCGACTTCATGCAGCTCTGCGCAGACCGATCGGCGGCTGACTTGAAACAGTGCATGCCGGTTAGAAATTTTGTCCGACTTGATGCAGCGCTGACTCCACGTGACTGTGACATATGCCATCAAAGTACCGCGAGAGCGATACGAGAGTAGCCGGAGGACTCAGCCAGCGCAGCTTCTCAAGAGCGGCTGCACGAGCTCTGATGATGTCACAGCTGTTCCACGATTCGCCGGATTCACCGCATGACAACGATCACGTGCGTTTCGTGTTTATTCTCACACGTTTAGTTCCACTAAAGCTCACAAATCAGTATTTTATAACAGTAAACACTCTTTTAATGTAGTCGCAATGTTATATTGTGTCATGTTTATCATGTTTATCAAAATAAAACTGATTAAAAAACGTTGATTCCACGTCATTGATTATAGGCTTATTTTGAACTTTATTCTATTTCAAACAGATGCTGTATGAAGCAGTAAAGTATTGAATGAAAATGTGTCTGAAATATCTGTTTATTTGGCAAATGTTGCATTTATTTCACTTCAGCTGTGGTATAAGCATGCAAACACCACGTGAGCCGTCACTACGGGAACCAGAAATTGTTCGACTTCACGTCTCCGTTTGCAGCTCCTCCACTCCTGCACGCGACTGTTCTCGCCGATCGGTTGCATCCAGCCGCAGGCGATGTCGAACACACCTAAAGACTGACAGAATGCCCCCCTTACAAAGGCACAAACTCGCGCTGTAGACCATCAATGGGGGGGGGGGGGGGCTGGCTGAATTAGAGCAGGAAGCCACCAGGGCGGAGCAGACTGAGGGCGTGGCCAGGGCGGAGCAGGACGTGGACGTGGCGGAGCAGGCTGAGGGCGTGGCCAGGGCGGAGCAGGACGTGGACGTGGCGGAGCAGGCTGAGGGCGTGGCCAGGGCGGAGCAGGACGTGTACATGGCGGAGCAGGCTGAGGGTGTGAGGGTCTAGAGCCTCCATTTTTGCACTCAGGTCTAAGTCTCATGGCCCTCTATCAGAATCCAGAGTTTCAAGACGATCAGAGAAACTCAAAATTTCGACCCAAAAAAACGACAGGGGTACCCCTGTCGTTTTTTTCGGGGCGATAAATTAAATTAAATGTGTCACATCACAACATGAAAAATTCATCTGAGAGTAAGGTTATGTGTGCTGTGCTATTATGTAGGATAATTCACTGTTGTCAACACTGTTACCATTAGACAAATGTGCTGTAAATAAGGCAAATAAACAAATCTATAAAGTAACTAAACATGATATATATTTAATTTGTCCCTTATTAGTGTTTATATATTAAGGAACATTTAAGTTGGATTAAAAGTGAGTTAACACATCAATCTCAGCATGTAAATGCAGTGTTGAGCTCGTAATGTGAATCTTGTCTGTATGTTACAGGGACAGGAGAACACGCATGTGTTTATCAGTGGAGAGAGGCTCATGATGCTGAATCATGTCATCAAAGGATTTGAGTGAGTGTACTACAGAAATGGATAACAACATCTATTAAATCTTAAGTTGTAGTTTATTTGAATGATTGTAATTTCAAATGGAAAAATTACAACACTTTTCTGATTCCTGATTTCTGTGCATTTGCTGCAGAGTGCAGAGCTTTTGTGGTGGAGCAGGACCTGCAAGGAAAGATGGTGGCAGCATTTGTAGGGGAAAAAAGGTTTTAGGGAATTTATTCAAATATAAAGTAAGGTTATTTTTAATACATCAAATGACATTGTGCTGTTAAAATGACTGCTTTTGTGAAATGCATTTTTGTAGGATCTGAAATGTCTGCAGACTGGTGTGAGCACTGAGAATGAGGAGCCCAGAGCTGAATCCTGGAAGTGGTCCCATGGATGTTTCCCTCCATCTCTCCATCTGCCCTTATGAGTCCCTCTATCACTCCATCTGCCCTTATTGCCTCTGATTGTGAAGCGCTTGCAGTAGGATGCTGTGTTCAGTGCCTGTAAATACATGCTTGTACTTTGAATAAAGCTTTGTTTCATGTGTTGTTAACTTGTATATGCATTTGTTTGTGATGGTTACTTTTATTTGTATTTTTGGACAATTTAATTAAAGTTTCTTTCATGATAAAAACTGTTTTACTGCACTCAGTTGGGGCCCCTGAGTCCGTAGCACCAAGCACCATCCCATAACTCCACCGTCCACGAACCCACTATTTTTACAATGACATAAATGCTACGTGGGATCTCAATATCTCAGATCTGGAAGGGTCTAGAGCCTCCATTTTTGCACTCATGTTTAAGTCCCATGGCCCTCTATCAGAATCCAGAGTTTCAAGAAGATTGGGGATACTTATTTTTTTGCACCAAAAAAAAAAAAACGTAAGGGGTAACACTGTCGTTTTTTTTTCTGGTTGAAATTTTGAGTTTTGATATCTCAGCTCTGGAAGGGTCTAGAGCCTCCATTTTGCACTCAGGTCTAAGTCTCATGGCCCTCTATCAGAATCCAGAGTTTTGAGAAGATTAGGCATACTTAATTTTTCGCCCAAAAAAAAAATGTAAGGGGTAACACTGTCGTTTTTTTTTTCTGGTCGAAATTTTGAGTTTCGATATCTCAGCTCTGGAAGGGTCTAGAGCCTCCATTTTTGCACTCAGGTCTAAGTCTCATGGCCCTCTATCAGAATCCAGAGTTTTGAGAAGATTGGGGATACTTAATTTTTCGCCTCCCCAAAAAAAACGTAAGGGGTAACACTGTCGTTTTTTTTTTCCTGTCGAAATTTTGAGTTTCGATATCTCAGCTCTGGAAGGGTCTAGAGCCTCCATTTTTGCACTCAGGTCTAAGTCTCATGGCCCTCTATCAGAATCCAGAGTTTTGAGAAGATTGGGGATACTTAATTTTTCGCCCCAAAAAAAAACGTAAGGGTAACACTGTCGTTTTTTTTTTTCTGGTCGAAATTTTGAGTTTCGATATCTCAGCTCTGGAAGGGTCTAGAGCCTCCATTTTGCACTCAGGTCTAAGTCTCATGGCCCTCTATCAGAATCCAGAGTTTTGAGAAGATTGGGGATACTTAATTTTTCGCCCAAAAAAAAATGTAAGGGTAACACTGTCGTTTTTTTTTTTCTGGTCGAAATTTTGAGTTTCGATATCTCAGCTCTGGAAGGGTCTAGAGCCTCCATTTTTGCACTCAGGTCTAAGTCTCATGGCCCTCTATCAGAATCCAGAGTTTTGAGAAGATTGGGGATACTTAATTTTTCGCCCCCCCAAAAAAAACGTAAGGGGTAACACTGTCGTTTTTTTTTTCTGGTCGAAATTTTGAGTTTCGATATCTCAGCTCTGGAAGGTCTAGAGCCTCAATTTTTGCACTCAGGTCTAAGTCTCATGGCCCTCTATCAGAATCCAGAGTTTTGAGAAGATTGGGGATACTTAATTTTTCGCCCCCCCAAAAAAAACGTAAGGGGTAACACTGTCGTTTTTTTTCTGGTTGAAATTTTGAGTTTCGATATCTCAGCTCTGGAAGGGCCTAGAGCCTCCATTTTTGCACTCAGGTCTAAGTCTCATGGCCCTCTATCAGAATCCAGAGTTTTAAGAAGATTGGGGATACTTAATTTTTCGCCCCAAAAAAAAAAACGTAAGGGGTAACACTGTCGGTTTTTTTTTCTGGTCGAAATTTTGAGTTTCGATATCTCAGCTCTGGAAGGGTCTAGAGCCTCCATTTTTGCACTCAGGTCTAAGTCTCATGGCCCTCTATCAGAATCCAGAGTTTTGAGAAGATTGGGGATACTTAATTTTTCGCCCCCAAAAAAAACGTAAGGGGTAACACTGTCGTTTTTTTTTCTGGTCGAAATTTTGAGTTTCGATATCTCAGCTCTGGAAGGGTCTAGAGCCTCCATTTTTTGCACTCAGGTCTAAGTCTCAGGCCCTCTATCAGAATCCAGAGTTGAGAAGATTGGGGATACTTAATTTTTCGCCCCCCCAAAAAAAACGTAAGGGGTAACACTGTCGTTTTTTTTTCTGGTCGAAATTTTGAGTTTCGATATCTCAGCTCTGGAAGGGTCTAGAGCCTCCATTTTTGCACTCAGGTCTAAGTCTCATGGCCCTCTATCAGAATCCAGAGTTTTAAGAAGATTGGGATACTTAATTTTTCGCCCCAAAAAAAAAAACGTAAGGGGTAACACTGTCGTTTTTTTTTCTAGTCGAAATTTTGAGTTTCGATATCTCAGCTCTGGAAGGGTCTAGAGCCTCCATTTTTGCACTCAGGTCTAAGTCTCATGGCCCTCTATCAGAATCCAGAGTTTTGAGAAGATTGGGGATACTTAATTTTTCGCCCCCCAAAAAAAAAACGTAAGGGGTAACACTGTCGTTTTTTTCTGGTCGAAATTTTGAGTTTCGATATCTCAGCTCTGGAAGGGTCTAGAGCCTCCATTTTTGCACTCAGGTCTAAGTCTCAGGGCCCTCTATCAGAATCCAGAGTTTTGAGAAGATTGGGGATACTTAATTTTTCGCCCCCCCAAAAAAAAAACGTAAGGGGTAACACTGTCGTTTTTTTTTCTGGTCGAAATTTTGAGTTTCGATATCTCAGCTCTGGACGGGTCTAGAGCCTCCATTTTTGCACTCAGGTTTAAGTCTCATGGCCCTCTATCAGAATCCAGAGTTTTGAGAAGATTGGGGATACTTAATTTTTCGCCCCCCCCCAAAAAAAAACGTAAGGGGTAACACTGTCGTTTTTTTTTTCTGGTCAAAATTTTGAGTTTCGATATCTCAGCTCTGGAAGGGTCTAGAGCCTCCATTTTTGCACTCAGGTCTAAGTCTCATGGCCCTCTATCAGAATCCAGAGTTTTGAGAAGATTGGGGATACTTAATTTTTCGCCCAAAAAAAATGTAAGGGGTAAAGTGTCGGTTTTTTTTTCTGGTCGAAATTTTGAGTTTCGATATCTCAGCTCTGGAAGGGTCTAGAGCCTCCATTTTTGCACTCAGGTCTAAGTCTCATGGCCCTCTATCAGAATCCAGAGTTTTGAGAAGATTGGGGATACTTAATTTTTCGCCCCAAAAAAAACGTAAGGGGTAACACTGTCGTTTTTTTTTTCTGGTTGAAATTTTGAGTTTCGATATCTCAGCTCTGGAAGGGTTTAGAGCCTCCATTTTTGCACTCAGGTCTAAGTGCCGTGGCCCTCTATCAGAATCCAGAGTTTTGAGAAGATTGGGGATACTTAATTTTTCGCCCAAAAAAAAAACGTAAGGGGTAACACTGTCGTTTTTTTTCTAGTCGAAATTTTGAGTTTCGATATCTCAGCTCTGGAAGGGTCTAGAGCCTCCATTTTTGCACTCAGGTCTAAGTCTCACGGCCCTCTATCATAATCCAGAGTTTTAAGAAGATTGGGGATACTTAATTTTTCGCCCAAGAAAAAAAACGTAAGGGGTAACACTGTCGTTTTTTTTTCTGGTTGAAATTTTGAGTTTCGATATCTCAGCTCTGGAAGGGCCTAGAGCCTCCATTTTTGCACTCAGGTCTAAGTCTCACGGCCCTCTATCATAATCCAGAGTTTTAAGAAGATTGGGGATACTTAATTTTTCGCCCCCCCCAAAAAAAAAACATAAGGGGTAACACTGTCGTTTTTTTTCTAGTCAAAATTTTGAGTTTTGATATCTCAGCTCTGGAAGGGTCTAGAGCCTCAATTTTTGCACTCAGGTCTAAGTCTCATGGCCCTCTATCAGAATCCAGAGTTTTGAGAAGATTGGGGATACTTAATTTTTCGCCCCCCAAAAAAAAACGTAAGGGGTAACACTGTCGTTTTTTTTCTGGTTGAAATTTTGAGTTTCGATATCTCAGCTCTGGAAGGGTCTAGAGCCTCCATTTTTGCACTCAGGTCTAAGTCTCATGGCCCTCTATCAGAATCCAGAGTTTTGAGAAGATTGGGGATACTTAATTTTTCGCCCCCAAAAAAAACGTAAGGGGTAACACTGTCGTTTTTTTTTTCTGGTTGAAATTTTGAGTTTCGATATCTCAGCTCTGGAAGGGTCTAGAGCCTCCATTTTGCACTCAGGTCTAAGTCTCATGGCCCTCTATCAGAATCCAGAGTTTTGAGAAGATTGGGGATACTTAATTTTTTCGCCCCCCCAAAAAAAAAACGTAAGGGGTAACACTGTCGTTTTTTTTTCTGGTTGAAATTTTGAGTTTCGATATCTCAGCTCTGGAAGGGCCTAGAGCCTCCATTTTTGCACTCAGGTCTAAGTCTCATGGCCCTCTATCAGAATCCAGAGTTTTAAGAAGATTGGGGATACTTAATTTTTCGCCCCAAAAAAAAAACGTAAGGGGTAACACTGTCGTTTTTTTTTCTGGTCGAAATTTTGAGTTTCGATATCTCAGCTCTGGAAGGGTCTAGAGCCTCCATTTTTGCACTCAGGTCTAAGTCTCATGGCCCTCTATCAGAATCCAGAGTTTTGAGAAGATTGGGGAACTTAATTTTTTCGCCCCCAAAAAAAACGTAAGGGGTAACACTGTCGTTTTTTTTCTGGTCGAAATTTTGAGTTTCGATATCTCAGCTCTGGAAGGGTCTAGAGCCTCCATTTTTGCACTCAGGTCTAAGTCTCATGGCCCTCTATCAGAATCCAGAGTTTTGAGAAGATTGGGGATACTTAATTTTTCGCCCCCCCAAAAAAAAACGTAAGGGGTAACACTGTCGTTTTTTTTTCTGGTCGAAATTTTGAGTTTCGATATCTCAGCTCTGGAAGGGTCTAGAGCCTCCATTTTTGCACTCAGGTCTAAGTCTCATGGCCCTCTATCAGAATCCAGAGTTTTAAGAAGATTGGGGATACTTAATTTTTCGCCCCCAAAAAAAAAAACGTAAGGGGTAACACTGTCGGTTTTTTTTTCTAGTCGAAATTTTGAGTTTCGATATCTCAGCTCTGGAAGGGTCTAGAACCTCCATTTTTGCACTCAGGTCTAAGTCTCATGGCCCTCTATCAGAATCCAGAGTTTTGAGAAGATTGGGGATACTTAATTTTTCGCCCCCAAAAAAAAACGTAAGGGGTAACACTGTCGTTTTTTTTCTGGTCGAAATTTTGAGTTTCGATATCTCAGCTCTGGAAGGGTCTAGAGCCTCCATTTTTGCACTCAGGTCTAAGTCTCATGGCCCTCTATCAGAATCCAGAGTTTTAAGAAGATTGGGGATACTTAATTTTTCGCCCCCAAAAAAACGTAAAGGGTAACACTGTCGTTTTTTTTTTCTGGTCGAAATTTTGAGTTTTCGATATCTCAGCTCTGGAAGGGTCTAGAGCCTCCATTTTTGCACTCAGGTCTAAGTCTCATGGCCCTCTATCAGAATCCAGAGTTTTGAGAAGATTGGGGATACTTAATTTTTCGCCCCCCAAAAAAAAACGTAAGGGGTAACACTGTCGTTTTTTTTTCTGGTCGAAATTTTGAGTTTCGATATCTCAGCTCTGGAAGGGTCTAGAGCCTCCATTTTTGCACTCAGGTCTAAGTCTCATGGCCCTCTATCAGAATCCAGAGTTTTGAGAAGATTGGGGATACTTAATTTTTCGCCCCAAAAAAAAAAAACGTAAGGGGTAACACTGTCGTTTTTTTTTCTAATCGAAATTTTGAGTTTAGATATCTCAGCTCTGGAAGCATCTAGAGCCTCCATTTTTTGCACTCAGGTCTAAGTCTCATGGCCCTCTATCAGAATCCAGAGTTTTGAGAAGATTGGGATACTTAATTTTTCGCCCCCAAAAAAAAAAACGTAAGGGGTAACACTGTCGTTTTTTTTCTGGTCGAAATTTTGAGTTTCGATATCTCAGCTCTGGAAGGGTCTAGAGCCTCCATTTTTGCACTCAGGTCTAAGTCTCATGGCCTCTATCAGAATCCAGAGTTTTGAGAAGATTGGGGATACTTAATTTTTCGCCCCAAAAAAAAAAAACGTAAGGGGTAACACTGTCGTTTTTTTTTCTGGTCGAAATTTTGAGTTTCGATATCTCAGCTCTGGAAGGGTCTAGAGCCTCCATTTTTGCACTCAGGTCTAAGTCTCATGGCCCTCTATCAGAATCCAGAGTTTTAAGAAGATTGGGGATACTTAATTTTTCGCCCCCAAAAAAAAACGTAAGGGGTAACACTGTCGTTTTTTTTTCTAGTCGAAATTTTGAGTTTTGATATCTCAGCTCTGGAAGGGTCTAGAGCCTCAATTTTTGCACTCAGGTCTAAGTGTCGTGGCCCTCTATCGGAATCCAGAGTTTTGAGAAGATTACGGATACTTAATTTTTCGCCCCCCAAAAAAAACGTAAGGGGTAACACTGTCGTTTTTTTCTGGTCGAAATTTTGAGTTTCGATATCTCAGCTCTGGAAGGGCCTAGAGCCTCCATTTTTGCACTCAGGTCTAAGTCTCATGGCCCTCTATCAGAATCCAGAGTTTTAAGAAGATTGGGAATACTTAATTTTTCGCCCCCCCCCAAAAAAAAATGTAAGGGGTAACACTGTCGTTTTTTTTTCTAGTCGAAATTTTGAGTTTTGATATCTCAGCTCTGGAAGGGTCTAGAACCTCCATTTTTGCACTCAGGTCTAAGTCTCATGGCCCTCTATCAGAATCCAGAGTTTTGAGAAAATTGGGGATACTTAATTTTTCGCCCCCCCAAAAAAAACGTAAGGGGTACTGTCGTTTTTTTTTCTGGTCGAAATTTTGAGTTTCGATATCTCAGCTCTGGAAGGGTCTAGTGCCTCCATTTTTGCACTCAGGTCTAAGTCTCATGGCCCTCTATCAGAATCCAGAGTTTTGAGAAGATTGGGGATACTTAATTTTTCGCCCCAAAAAAAAAAAACGTAAGGGGTAACACTGTCGTTTTTTTTTCTGGTTGAAATTTTGAGTTTCGATATCTCAGCTCTGGAAGGGTCTAGAGCCTCCATTTTTGCACTCAGGTCTAAGTGTCGTGGCCCTCTATCAGAATCCAGAGTTTTGAGAAGATTGGAGAAACTTATTTTTTCGCACGAAAAAAAAAAAAAAACAGGGGTAACACTGTCGGGGGTTTTTTTGGGTCGAAATTTTGAGTTTCTCTAATCTTCTTGAAACTCTGGAATCTGATAGAGGGCCATGGGACTAAGACATGAGTGCAAAAATGGAGGCTCTAGACCCTTCCAGAGCTGAGATATTGAGATATTTATAATGGCATAAATGTTATGTGGGATCTCAATATCTCAGCTCAGGAAGGGTCTAGAGCCTCCATTTTTGCACTCAGGTCTAAGTCTCATGGCCCTCTATCAGAATCCAGAGTTTTGAGAAAATTGGGGATACTTAATTTTTCGCCCCCCCAAAAAAAACGTAAGGGGTACTGTCGTTTTTTTTTCTGGTCGAAATTTTGAGTTTCGATATCTCAGCTCTGGAAGGGTCTAGTGCCTCCATTTTTGCACTCAGGTCTAAGTCTCATGGCCCTCTATCAGAATCCAGAGTTTTGAGAAGATTGGGGATACTTAATTTTTCGCCCCAAAAAAAAAACGTAAGGGGTAACACTGTCGTTTTTTTTCTGGTTGAAATTTTGAGTTTCGATATCTCAGCTCTGGAAGGGTGTAGAGCCTCCATTTTTGCACTCAGGTCTAAGTGTCGTGGCCCTCTATCAGAATCCAGAGTTTTGAGAAGATTGGAGAAACTTATTTTTTCGCACCAAAAAAAAAAAAAAAAACAGGGGTAACACTGTCGGGTTTTTTTTTGGGGTCGAAATTTTGAGTTTCTCTAATCTTCTTGAAACTCTGAAATCTGATAGAGGGCCATGGGACTAAGACATGAGTGCAAAAATGGAGGCTCTAGACCCTTCCAGAGCTGAGATATTGAGATATTTATAATGGCATAAATGTTATGTGGGATCTCAATATCTCAGCTCAGGAAGGGTCTAGAGCCTCCATTTTTGCACTCAGGTCTAAGTCTCATGGCCCTCTATCAGAATCCAGAGTTTCAAGAATATTGGAGAAACTTAATTTTTCGCACCGAAAAAAACGACAGTGGTACCCCTGTCGAAATTTTTTTGGGGTCTAAATTTTGAGTTTCTCTGATCTTCTCGAAACTCTGGATTCTGATAGAGGGCCATGAGACTTAGACCTGAGTGCAAAAATGGAGGCTCTAGACCCTTCCTGAGCTGAGATATTGAGATCCCACATAGCATTTATGCCATTATAAAAATAGTGGGTTCGTGGACAGTGGAATTATGGGATCTCAATATCTCAGCTCAGGAAGGGTCTAGAGCCTCCATTTTTGCACTCAGGTCTAAGTCTCATGGCCCTCTATCAGAATCCAGAGTTTTGAGAATATTGGAGAAACTCAATTTTTCGCACCGAAAAAATCGACAGTGGTACCACTGCTGAGTGCAGTAAAATAGTTTTTGTCACGACAGGAACTTTAGTTAAAATGTCTATCAAATATACTACCCGACTGCAGGCTTTAAACTAGGTGAAATGCTCCAGAAGTTTTAAAAAAAGGGGGCTGACATGTGATGTCCATTGTTATGGACACAGGGTCTGAATGGGTTAAAAATTTAACTTAAACATTAAATAATAATAAAAAATCTGTCAATCCCCCACTATGCTACAACCACAGACCTTGTTATGCATTTATAAACTAAATGTATTCTATTAATGGAAAATTCCAAGTCAAATGAAACTGAAGCTAAATTATTTAATAGCCTGCATAATAGAATATGATATTAATCCCTTTGTGATATCAGATCAGAAACTACATATCAGCAATAGTCAAATGCAAATAGGCAACGAGACTCAGAAGTGATAAAAGCATTTGCTAACATTTCTGACAACGTTTTGCTTTAATATCACGACTTTTGAATTTCAAGCAAACATGCACAGCGAGTGAGTGTCAATAGACCAAACACACTCTAAGGATGTTTGATCAACAGGAGAGTAAAGTCCTACAACAGAAATGGATACGACTAGAAAACGTAATGAGAAAATGAGATTACGCAGGACAGCTGAAGGATACTTGTGATTATTTTTTAAGATATGAAATAAAATTAAAAAAGATCCAACAAATCCACAATACCATTAAAGCTTTATTGTGATATCGGATAGTCTACAATACAGTGAAAACAGACAAATGTGACTTTTCTTTACTAGGACAGAATGCAAACTAATGTAATCAAGTAAAAAGAAGAAAAAAGCTTTTTTTTTGCATTGAAGAAAAAAAAAAAAAAGAAAGAAAACCAGGCACGACTTAATATAGCCATTATAAACACAACATGCTTTAGACCTTATATTTTAACAGTCCTAAGAAAAGAACTCTGCAAACTTATACAATCGTCGCCTAAACTAGATGTCGTCTCAAATTAACAGAAATGTTTAAAAACCAGTGTCACCAAAAGAAACAGCAAAAAAGGGAAGTAAACAATCTTTTTTACCGCCAACACCTCAATATGTTGCTGTAAAAGACAAATAACAATTTAAAAAACCCTCACAAATATTAATTTCCCACTTGGTATTCAGAGAGGCCACAAACTCACTTTTTGGTTTGACCAAGTGATTCAGTTTCCAGATTGGTACTATATGTTAAAAACAACACTTGCTGTTGAAAAGTTTCATAATTTTTGGTGCAGAGACTGCACACTGAAAGTGTGACACTGGCTTGGATCTAGTTCTGATTTTGAAAGTCTTAGGGAAAGCTGTTTTTTGTTAAATTTTCTATTGTGAAATTTGGGCAGGTGAATCCAGCTCACCGCTGACCATGATGCTAAAACACGACCAGCAGACTTTCTGCTATTAGGCTCTCAACAGGAAACTATCGAAGGATGAAAACCAACTTTAATATATATAAAAAAACAAAGCTTATTATCATCAAGCTAAGAGAGCTCACATCAAAACACGCTGTGAGACAGCAAAAAGAAATGTGATAAAGGAAACAGCACAGAGGAACTAGTGAACAACAGCAAAAACAGCTACAAATAAAGTGAGGAAAGTAAAGGAACACGCATACATGCATCCACACACACATCATTCACAGTCGCATTCACACACACACATATAAAGCCAAAGGTACAGTGAACAAAAGTGCTTCAAGTCGGGGAAGTAGAGAAACTAACCCAGTAGAAATATGTATAAAACCTTAAATATGTTACTTTATGTACAAAACTGTGTGAGAGGGACAATGTATTGTCTGTAACTCTGTATCATCATCTTTCAAGTAAGATATATCTACAACTATTTTGTTTGCATTGTCTTTGACTGATTCAAAGGTCACGTGACCTGACTGACCTTATCGGTGACGAACTCCGACTGAGGGTTCGCCACTCGTTCTACTATTGCCCGCCGTCCCACCCGCCCATAAGCACGACAAAACCTCGATATTTATTCATATCATTCATTATATATAGTTATACTTGATAGAAATCTACATTTAATTCCCCTCTTTACCGCTATAGGGAGTAAGCTCCGCCCCCTCCCGCTCTAACCACCCCGCCCGCTTTTATATACTTTGCAGGATACAACCACTGTTTCATAACATCTCTAGCTTCGACATAGAACTATGACAAAATACTGGGTTATATAACGCTTCGAGTGGATAGAGATTCTGTGACGTTCGTTTCCAAGTTCGTGTCGTTTTTCGAGTTCCTGCTTCTAGTAGATGTGCTGGGTTCTCGGAGTCATGCGCCGCACAACAACAGGAGAGGGAGATTTCTTTTTTTAATCTTTTGAAGAGGCACAAGATTCATGCTGCTTAGAGGCAAAGACGTGGAGAAAAGCTACAAAAGGAACGCATGGGCTCGCATGCTCTCAGACAGTCCGGGTAAAGTGCAGAAGGTTCAAAAGTGAAAGCTCTGGATTGCATTTATCTCTATTAGCAGCAAAAGAATCACGTAACGCCACTTTCTGATTGTTAAATTTGGGACCTGTTTCTGAAATCGAACGAATTACGAGCGTAGCGAACAGGTCTGCCGGCCTGTGGAAGAAAGCGAAAGCAGCAGATTTTGTGTGTTTGAAACGAGAGGGAGATGATCAAGCCAGCAACCACCCAACCCTGCAAATCATTCAAAGCATCTCATACAATCATTCGATTATTATCAATGAAAAAAGGCCATTCAATGGACAGACTTTTGCCTCTAAACCCATGAACAAGGCCTCTGCAAAGTGCAAACAAAGTAACTGCATTCAAGTATGCCATAAACATAATGCGTAAAACACACAGAGCTAACATGCGTGTGCATGTCCTAACATGTGGTTGAACACATAAATCACACATAGCAATGAACATACACATGATTGTAATATCAACAACAGTTTTGTAAAATCATTTGGCGTGAAGGGGGATGAAAACGTAATGCAAACATTGTTCCGAGGAGGACACTAGTTTCAGTTTTCCCCAAATGTCCAGTGCATCCAAACGGCTGTAGCTTTCTCTCGCCTATAGCAAAAATGGAACCTGCCACAAATGCCAACTCAAAGACGCGTGTTTGTGTAATCTCACCAAAAGCACCAGAGGCAACTAAAGCTCCTGTAGGGGTCAGACGCTACTGTTGTACCAGAGTGTCCCGCGAATTGCACAGTGAAGTCATCCGAGGAAGAAAAAAAAACAACATTTCGATTCGGAATTAAAATGGTTAAAACGCAAGGGAGATCATAAATACAAACAATGCTATGCCACTGCAATGCTGAACGCCCACCCCATCCAAAATATACTGCTACATAGCCTCTAACGCATGTCAGTCGCGTCGGTCGCCGCCCCAACGAGAACCGAAAGACAATCAGAACGGGTCGGACTCAGAGAAGGAGAAAAATGCTAACCAGTAACATCAGTCCACCAGGGAGGACTCCAGATTCCCGTCGAAAAGAAAGTATACACACTAGAGCGCACACCTCCCGCTTATTCACAGAAACAGCGGGGGATGTTAAACGAAAAACGTGAAACTGTCTTCTGGATACTGTTAACAGTTTGCGAGGAGGGCCGAGCACACCGAAACCAGTCATTGGGGAGTCCAACAGGAAGGGAGAAGGTTCGGATCCCAAAGTGTTGACATGTACATCTCCGAAAAGGTCCAAGAGTCTTTCAGTGACCGTAGATGTCTTTGATACGCTTTCCGCCACTCTGCCTTTGAGTTTTGTGATGACCCAGTCTAGATGTGTCATGGTTGACGTTGGCGTGTGTGTGCGCGCGCTCGTGTCTGTGCGTTTTATTTTCATTTGTGTACGTGTGCGTGTGGTGGTGTCACTCGGCAAAGTCCACAACAGAGCAGCCCAAAGGTCACTGAGCAGAGAGAGGAAGTAGGCCAAGGTCACTCCCAGCCATTATCTTTGATCATATGAGCAAGCTCGATGATGAATTTGCCTTCTTTGTATTTCTGACTGCTCTCAAATGCATGCTCCTGTAACAGAGACAGAAACAGACAAATGTTACTACAACCCAAAAACAAAACACACAAAGCACTGCAGTGTTGACTACTGAAATCAGAAAATATTTTTGTCCACTTTTTCATGCTCTTAACTCTGTCCCCACCACTGACGGAAATTTACGGCAATCCATGTTTTCACTGTTATAGGGTAGGGGGCGCTATTACGCATCGTCTGAAAGAGTAAAGGGAAGCGAAAAAAAAGCGAAGAAGCAGTAGCAGAAACAAGCGATGGAAGCATTGCTTATGCATACAGTATGTAAGCTAACATGATCAACAAATATTAAACAGCATCTAAATCAAAACTGCCAAGCATTACTTAATGGCCTTGGTCTCGAGACCACTTTTACGTGGTCTCGGTCTTATCACAGTCTTGATGGTCTTTGGTCTTGGTCTTGTCTTGGTCTCTGACCTCTCTGTCTTGTCTAGGTCTCGCTGTCTCAGTCTGACATAGTGGTCAGGGGATTTAGCAACACAATATCCACGACGATATCCATAACGGATTGAAGCCCAGTGAAGACCTTGATCTGGTCTTGGGTCTCGGTCTCGACCTTGGTCTCGACTTGATCTGTCTTGGTCTCGACTTGATCTGTCTTGGTCTCGACTTGATCTGTCTTGGTCTCGACTTGATCGGCCTTGGTCTCGGTCTTGGTCTCGACTTGATCTGTCTTGGCCTCGACTTAATCTGTGTTGGTCTCGACTTGATCTGTCTTGTTCTTGGTCTCGACTTGATCTGTGTTGGTCTCGACTTGATCTGTTCTGGTCTCGACTTGATCTGTCTCGGTCTCGACTTGATCTGTTCTGGTCTCGACTTGATCTGTCTCGGTCTTGGTCTCGACTTGATCTGTTTTGATCTCGACTTGATCTGTTCTGGTCTCGACTTGATCTGTTCTGGTCTCGACTTGATCTGTCTCGGTCTTGGTCTCGACTTGATCTGTTTTGGTCTCGACTTGATCTGTCTCAGTCTTGGTCTCGACTTGATCTGTCTTGTTCTTGGTCTCGACTTGATCTGTGTTGGTCTCAACTTGATCGGCCTTGGTCTCGGTCTCGACTTGATCTGTTTTGGTCTTACTCTCGACTTGATCTGTCTTGGTTTTGGTCTCGACTTGATCTGTTTTGGTCTTACTCTCGACTTGATCTGTCTTGGTCTTGGTCTCGAACTTGATCTGTTTTGGTCTTGCTCTTGACTTGATCTGTCTCGGTCTTGGTCTCGACTTGAACTGTTTTGGTCTCAACTTGAACTGTGTTGGTCTCGACTTGATCTGTCTTGTTCTTGGTCTCGACTTGATCTGTGTTGGTCTCGACTTGATCGGCCTTGGTCTCGGTCTCGACTTGATCTGTTTTGGTCTTGGTCTCGAACTTGATCTGTCTCGGTCTTGGTCTCGACTTGATCTGTGATGGTCTCGACTTGATCGGCCTTGGTCTCGGTCTCGACTTGATCTGTCTTGGTTTTGGTCTCGACTTGATCTGTTTTGGTCTTACTCTCGACTTGATCTGTCTTGGTCTTGGTCTCGAACTTGATCTGTTTTGGTCTTGCTCTCGACTTGATCTGTTTTGGTCTTGGTCTCGAACTTGATCTGTTTTGGTCTTGCTCTCGACTTGATCTGTCTCGGTCTTGGTCTCGACTTGATCTGTGATGGTCTCGACTTGATCGGCCTTGGTTTCGGTCTCGACTTGATCTGTGATGGTCTCGACTTGATCGGCCTTGGTCTCGGTCTCGACTTGATCTGTTCTGGTCTCGACTTGATCTGTCTTGTTCTTGGTCTCGACTTGATCTGTGTTGGTCTCGACTTGATCGGCCTTGGTCTCGGTCTCGACTTGATCTGTTTTGGTCTTGGTCTCGAACTTGATCTGTCTCGGTCTTGGTCTCGACTTGATCTGTGATGGTCTCGACTTGATCGGCCTTGGTCTCGGTCTCGACTTGATCTGTCTTGGTTTTGGTCTCGACTTGATCTGTTTTGGTCTTACTCTCGACTTGATCTGTCTTGGTCTTGGTCTCGAACTTGATCTGTTTTGGTCTTGCTCTCGACTTGATCTGTTTTGGTCTTGGTCTCGAACTTGATCTGTTTTGGTCTTGCTCTCGACTTGATCTGTCTCGGTCTTGGTCTCGACTTGATCTGTGATGGTCTCGACTTGATCGGCCTTGGTTTCGGTCTCGACTTGATCTGTGATGGTCTCGACTTGATCGGCCTTGGTCTCGGTCTCGACTTGATCTGTCTTGGTTTTGGTCTCGACTTGATCTGTTTTGGTCTTACTCTCGACTTGATCTGTCTTGGTCTTGGTCTCGAACTTGATCTGTTTTGGTCTTGCTCTCGACTTGATCTGTCTCAGTCTTGCTCTCGACTTGATCTGTCTTAGTCTTGCTCTCGACTTGATCTGTCTCAGTCTTGGTCTCGACTTGATCTGTCTCGGTCTTGGTCTCGACTTGAACTGTTTTGGTCTCAACTTGAACTGTTTTGGTCTCGACTTGATCTGTCTCGGTCTTGGTATCGACTTGATCTGTCTCGGTCTTGGTCTCGACTTGATCTGTCTCGGTCTTGGTCTCAACTTGATGCGTCTCGGTCTTAGTCTCGACTTGATCTGTTTTGGTCTCGACTTGATCTGTCTCGGTCTTGGTCTCGACTTGATCTGTTCTGGTCTCGACTTGATCTGTTTCTGGTCTCGACTTGATCTGTCTCGTTCTTGGTCTCGACTTGATCTGTTCTGGTCTCGACTTGATCTGTCTCGGTCTTGGTCTCGACTTGATCTGTCTCGGTCTTGGTCTCGACTTGATCTGTCTTGGTCTCGGTTTAGGCGGTCTTGACTACAAGTCTACTACTTGGTCTATGCTTTGATTATCGTTCTGAATCTGTCAAACATATCTGTTCATTTGTTGTATATTTAGATATGTATACCAAAAAAATATTCTGGGGGCCTTGAAAGTTTTGAGAAAATGATCAAAAATTCTGCAGCTGGCTGGCAACTTTTGTAAAAAAAAATTTTTTTAAATAAATAAAACACTGGCGGAGAAATATTATAATCACAGAATTACGATTTTCTGATTAAAAAAAAATTGCGATTTAAAATGTTTTTTTTAAATAAATAAATAAATAAAGAATAAACTCCAGGTTTACTGTGCTTGTTTGTAGGGCTACACAATGTGGCCAAAAAATCTGAATACACTGTATATCAATATGACTATTAAATAATAATAAATAGGGGGGAAATACGATGTTATAGAATATGAGCATTTTAGTGCTTTCTGTACTCCTCTATTACACAACGTAGAATGCTGAAATGAGTCTTTTTAACCCCTTTAGGCTGTCTGAACCTGTCCATTACTCATCTGGACTGAAAACGGCCCACTATAGCAGTGGTGTTTCATCGTGCCTCAGGATGATAACTCTACACTTGCAACTTCAACTCAGTCGGCCTGAAATAAAGAGCTGTTCCAGAAATGTTCTCATCAGATGATGATGAAAAAGCTAAGAAAAACTGGTCTGTGATCAGTGTTCCAGAGTGACTTCAATCTAAAGGCTCAGTAATCAAACATGTGGAGACCTGAAGACAAACACGATTGAGTCATGATGTAAAATCCCTCTTAGCCAATCCTGAGACACGATTAGAGCTCCTGTTTAATCGGGAAGAGAAACAACTAAATAAAGCCTCAATACCCGCCATCTACAAAAACTGAGCATTCTTTGTATCTTTAGTTTTAGGTGAAATTAATAATAGATCATAAAAAAATAATTTATTAACAATATACCAATGCTTTCCAAAGCAGAGGTACATGCACCTTTGCTTTTTCTCACATTAACATTCAATTAGGGAAGTAATTTTGAATAGGTTGGAATATATTTGACAACTTGATTACATATTTTGCGTTTAAAGTAGCTCATTGATGATCCAAATATACATTATTCAATATTAAACCATATTTCACATTTAGGTTACATACTGTTCAAAAGTCTGGGGTTGGTTCGATTTGTTAAATTTCTTTAAAAAAAAAAATACAGTAAAAACACTAATATTGTGAAATATTTCTACTTAAGATTATTAATTTAAAATAGCTGTTTCTATCTAAAAAAATTTAAATATTTTCAAATGTAATTTATTATATAAATGTCTTTACTGTTTGACTAATGCAATGTGTCCTTGCTGAATAAAAGTATTATGTTTTTAACTATTTTAAATGCACATCACAGATGTCCACTGTTCACAGACATCATGAGTTATGAGATAGTATAGTGTCTGTTTAAGGATTTATCAACGAACATTATTATGAAGTGTTATTGGGACTGATCTATTAAGTGTCTGCTGTTAAGAAAACTCAACAGCGTGATCACTTACAGCATCAAAGTGGGCCGTAATTGAGCTGTGAATAAAGACATATATAGAGCCATATCTGTGCTAGACTGCAGTGTGAAGTCAATGCAAGGGCATGTTAATTCTGGTCACTGGAGCCAAGCTAAGTAACAGGATATCAGTAGACAAAAATAAAGAAACCCACACAGCTCAGATTAGCCAACTGCTGTCACTGCAACTGCAGAACAAGCACTCTGACAAGTACATATCCGCAAAGTGAAAAAATCAGCTTGCATTGTGTTGTGATGCAAGGAAAAGAAATGCAGGAGTTTAAAATAATAGTCTGTAATTTGTGTGTACTGGAAGGAGAGACGACTTACGTATTTCCAGCCCAGAGTGGTTTTACAATTTTCACAGTAGATGTCTGCCACAGCATGTAAACCTGTTAGGAGAACCCTCTCCTCCGCTGGACCACAACCGACGTTCACACTGAGGGAAAAGAGGTTAATCAGTGGTCAAAATGGTGATTCATGTGACTGACCTGTTTTCTGAAAGTCATTGTGGGTCACCTTTACTGGATGACCACTAAGTAGGTCAGAAGAAGTACTACAGCAGATGTGAAGAGACCAACGGCCATGCAACATCAACGTGAAACGACACTCGGACACAGCTAGGATAACTTTGCCACAATTTATTTCAACATAAATCCACTGGCATTTAAAAAAAAAGACTATGCATGGGTGATTTCAGAACAAGTAGTTTGCCAAACCCTTCATACACAAACTGCAGCATTCAATTAAATGCAAACGACATAAGAATGGATTTACACAGTTGATGGGGCTCAATGTTAGTCATTACAAATTCAGAATTATTTAAATTAGCGGGTGGGGATCAGATACATAATGAGCTGGATTTGATTTGGTCAAAACTTATTAAAATACCTAATGAATAATAAACTACCATTCCAAAGTTTAGGGTTGGTAAAATTGGTTTAATGTTTTTGATTTATCTTGTGTTCACCAATGCTGCATTTATTTGATCAAAAATACAGTAACATTTTGTGAAATGTTATTACAAGTTAAAATAACTTTTACTTTAACATTTTAATACGTAATTTATTCCTGTGATGCTGATTTGCTCCTTGGGAAAATTTCCTATTATTATTATCAATTTTGTGCTGAAACAGTTGTGCTGCTTAATATTTTTGTAGAGCCTGTGATGCATTTTTTTCCTGAAAAAAATCTATTAATTAATGAATAATAAGTTCAAAAGAACACTAAACATAGACATCATTTGGAACATTATAAATGTCTTATTTACGGTCACTTTTGATCAATTTAATCCATCCTTGCTGAATAAAAGTATAATTTTTGGAGAAAAAAAAAATCTTACTGACCTCAAGCTTTTGAACAGTAACATATTAGATATCTGTAAATATTGATACACGCATAAACAAACTTTTCCAGTGCATTTATAACACGAGTGACCTAATTTTGCAGCCAACTAAATTTGTTGCAACTTGCAATGCAATTCTCACATTCAGTTTCATAAAGTCTGTATTGGTAAATATTGCATTATTCAGTTCATTTCAGCATTCAGAATATTAAGCTCTCAACAAAACAATCTTTCTTGCGTTAACATTTGAAGCCGAAACGTCCACATGTGATGACAGCGGTGCTTAACACTTAACACTGTGAATTGGCTGAGGAATGTCACAGGTCACGAACACAGTCAACCTCGAATTTATCATCGTAATATCTCACACACACCAGAGCGCTAGCTTAAACACACTGGTAGCACAATGCTTAAATATGATGAATCATCAACTCGCATCATTAGATAGCAGTGCTATGTTTAGGCCTACAGCTCTTGTAAAATGCAAAACAGCTATAGCCATTCCTCTATGAGTCTCAGACAGAGATATAAGGGATAATGTGCAGTCAACCGGTCATTTTCACAAAGCAAACCCCTTCAGGATGATGCAAGAAGACCCGTCTGCTTTGGACTCCGTCTGGGTTTATTTTGCAATAACATCCAGAAACATTCTCCCTTATATACACTACCGTTCAAAAGTTTGGGGTCAGAATGATTTTTTAATGTTTTTGAAAGTCTCTTATGCTCACCGTGGCCGCGTCTATTTGATCAAAAATATAGTATAGTATATAATATGAATTTTTATTATTATTTTATTACAATTTAAAAATAATACGAATTTATTCCTGTGATGCAAAGCTGAATTTTTTTCAGCATCATTACTCCAGTCTTCAGTGTCACATGATCCTTCAGAAATCATTCTAATATGATGATTTGCTGCTCAAGAAACATTTCCTGTTATTATCAATGTTAAAAATGGCCATACTGTCAATGTCTGCTTAATATTTTTTTAATTAAAATAAAAAGCCTTTGTTACTGTCACTTTTTATCATTTTTGATGCATCCTTGCTGATTAAAAGCAATTTCTTTAAAAAAAAAAAAAAAACATTTACTGACCCCAAACTTTTAAACAATAGTGTATCGTCTTAATTCACAACAAGAAAATGCTATAAATTGTTGATGTGAATGAGATAATTACTTACACTGAATTAAAGAGGTAGGCTCGTCCCTGGCTGCCTTGGAATGACTAGAGAGACAAAAAGAGAAATATAAATGTTATGTATGAATGATAATGTTCAGATCAGAGTTCTCGCACACTCACAGATGCATCAGACTCGCACATGGTTTTCCATGAAAGATTCACTAAGAGGCATTATAAGAGTGTGTGTGGGCGTTATGGTGCTCTGTTCATGTGTGTGTGTTCGTGGAAAGTCTGTCTGAAATACGGTCTGGGCACAGGCCAACATGTGCATTTCATAAATGGTTCTTAGCATATGTATGGGTCTGCAAGAATGAAACAGTGTTTCTCTTTAGAAAAAGTGTGTGTATGTGGGTTTATGACACTCTACATAATGAACAGAGGTGCTTTTATTCTTCATCATAAAAATGGAGATAAAGCTGCACTGAATGGAGTTGCTTCTGTTGGGTTTCCATTCAGTGTTCAATGATATAGTTCACTTTCTCTTCTTTTTTTAATTTGTGGAACACAAAAAGGTGAAATTTTGAAGAATGTCCTGGCCACTCTTTTTAAAATATTGAAACCTGCCCAAAAAGTCCAAAAATGGGAAATAATACAAATAAATTAATTAAAACACATCATAAGTGATCTACAAAAGACTAAATTTCAGAACAAGGCCAAATTTAACCCTTGTGCATCAATTAAAAAAAGTTACACATAGGTAAAAAGAGGACAAAAATGTCCATGTCAAAAAACTGTCATAAAAATGTGACGCTTTGGAGCACAGACTTAAGTTTGGTATCATTTTAAAGAAGACCCTTTGCAGATTATTGATGAAGTAAAAAAAATAATAATCAGTAAATCCAAAAAAAAGTTATATAGGTATAAGTTTATGAAAATTATTTATAAAATAATATTTTATTTTATATAATATATATATATTTTTTAAATCAGGTTGAACTCAAAACTACTATAAAATCAAAGCCATAAATCTAAATAGGTTGTGTTCCAAATTTGAGGATGATATCTCAAAAAATGAGCTTTCGGTAACAGTTTGTTTGGGCGTAGTAACATATTTTTCCCATTGGGTCCCAGCAAAAGCCCACTGGAGCTCACAGTGATTGGATCTCAATTTGCAGTTTTTCTCTCTCAGTCTGACAAACACACACATGCGCACACACACACACACATATTTTTTTATAACACACATACCAACCACACTCTGACATCCATACCAACACACCCACACAAATATCGTTGCATAATTTATCCAGTTGGCTCTATACTACGCCGAACCAGAAAACAGGAATAAAGCGACATTTGTTTTATAGGCCAAACTTTAAAAAAAATGACACCATCTGATAAAAAAATAGTAAAAAATAAAATTTTGAAGCCTTGCCATCAGAATGAAAGCCTCTTAACAAAGATTGCATAATTTTATAGTTAACTGAACCAGGGATTAAAAATGGCAGTTTTAATGGGTTTCAATTGGGACATTTTTGTCCAAAAGGGGCTGAGAGGGAGTATTTTTTGTACCTAATGCAAAAAATATTTTTTAAGAAAATGACGGTGAAATAGTAAAATTCCAATAAAAATACATACCTGTGCCAAGTTTTTTGCAGTTAGCTTTAACACAGGCAAAGTGGTCAAAAAAAAAACAAAACTGAAAAGGACAAAAATGTCCACAAGGATGCACAAAGGTTTAACACAATTCACAAAAACCTTGAAATCGGCTGTACTTCATTGGCATGTTCATTATAATATTAAATAGCGTGCAAGCCACTACTTTATGACTTGAAGCTTCCAATCAGTGTAACTATGAGGAATGATCAGCATACCACTAAAATTATCTTCTTTTGTCTTCCACAGAAAAAATAGAAAGTCTAAAAGGTTTGGAGCAACAAGATTGTTCGATATGTCATAACTTTCATTTTTGGTTGAACTAATCCCCCAAGTGCCCGGTGCTTTTAAAGCCGTCTGTGTCCTTCTTTCTTCTCTGTCAGTATCTCTGGCTCCTTAATCCCTTCTCTGGCCACTTTCTTCTCTTTACTGATGGTTTTGAAAGCATTAACCTGTTTAACATCTACCACACCGTAATAACACAGATAACAGAGTTTAGTCTAATGAATACTTCAGCCACGAACTCAAACAGCACCAATGATCAGCATACAAATATACTATAAAGTTTGGAACAACACAACTTACTTTAAAGATTATTTGCTTTATTATTATTAGTGGTCGACCGTCCGGCATAGATTTTTTTTTGCTGGCTGATATAAAGCCATTATCACACTCTTTGATTTTAACTTGAAAATGCTAAGTTTAGAAAGGATTTTAACACCTTTACAAGACACTTCTTTTTAACATGTTCACATTCAGAATGAGCAACAGTTAAAGTAACACTTTCCTTAGCAAACACCACTAATAACGGCACTCAGTGATGGTGAGAATATAGACCATTTTGCAAGATCAAGATGTAAACAACACTGGTCCAGAAAAACGTCCTGTTTCAGTTTGTCACTGTTTTCTTTATTTCACATGTAAAGAAAACATCTTAAAGTTTTTTTGTTTAACTTTTTGATTCAGTTTTATATGTTCTGTTGGTTGTATTTTATCCCAGCTTTTATATAGTGCTAAAAAACTGAAACAGGAAGTGCTTCTGGACCAGTGTTGTTTACATCTTGCGAAATGGTCTATAGTGAGGAGACAAAACGCACAAGGGAACTTAGTCATAAGTCAGTCTGTATATTCTAGCAGTAAGTCGTGTGCAAAGGTTAAGCAGACGTATTCATGGATGGAGCACTGAGCGCTCTGACAAACCAGCTAAAAATATGGATTACCAACAACAAGTGCGATGCTTTTCAGATTAGGAAAGCTTTTTTGGAAACCCTAAAATAATGCACCACCAATGCATACATACAGTACATCCATGAGTTTTCTACAAAAGCAGTGCATGCTTGTTGGTGTAGGTGGTTGGATTTAGGCCAGTGTGCTCCTGGTAACCTGCTGTCATCCTCGGTCGCAGGAGCCGGGGCATGGGCGAATCGGCTTTACTTTTCCACTGCCGGTGACCTGAGTACAGCTACAAGCCTAATAAAGACTGTTAAAGCCCACAGCGGCTGTCTGTGCTCTTCTAAGAGGAGTGTCTAACCAGCTCAAGCTGAAGGCAAATGGGTAATTTTATAGGGACATTGACACAATGAAAGGCCCCCGACTGTGTCGTTTAACATTGTGGGACAAGTAAATCTGGCTGTTGTTACAATGGCAGTATGTGCACAATGCACATGGGAATGAGAGGAGGAGCAAAAGCCGTGCATTTAGGAGGACGAGAATGCATTCAAGCCAGATCGTTGAGATTTAATTACAGATCTGCCTCCATTATTATGTCATAATCACAAAAGCAGCACGCTAAAGTCCTGGGAAACATTCAGTGCAAATGAGCAAAGAGATACATTAGCAACTGTTAACAGAAAGTGTATTGTACAAGCTTCCGATTCAGAGTATGAAATGTTTAAGGGGTGATGAACTGAGAAATCAAATTTTCCTTGAGCTTTTGACATCTAAGAGGTCATCATATTATAAGAATATCCTGTAAGTTTCAGAACTGAAAACGTCCTTGTTAGTCCAATAAAAGCTTTTATTGACACCAGCCTCAGCAAACGACTCGTTTTTCAAAGTGGGGAACTATGACGTCAAAGAGGATAAAACACCACCCCCGCTGAAGAAGATCAACGCCGTGTAGCCCCGCCCACCGATCCATTACACACATAGATAAATAACATAGGCCTACCTCGTGATGACAAACCGGATCGACATTGTCCGTCTGTTCGCTTCATTTCACTGAGGATTGTTTTGTCAACAAGATTGGATTTGCAGACCGATTAAGAGTAAAGAACGGTGCTGTGCCTTCTATATTGATCTGACAGGAATTGTGCAACTTACGGACTCGAACGTATGGGTGAATCATTCCGGTTGCCATTTTATCAAAACAATTTCCCCCACGTGCGCCGACGAGTGAGTTGAAACTCATTATAATATGCAAAACTGTTATCCACTCACAGGAGTGGGCGTTTACTTCCAAGTCTTCAATGCGAGACGCCCATAAAAACCGAGCGTTTCTGAGCAGGTCTCAAAGCTAGGATAGAAAATAGCCTTTTACTTATTCAATTTAATGTTTTTGAATGCAAAAACAAAGCGAATGTCATAAGTCGACCTCAGACAACAATATAATCAAATTTAAAAAGCACCCCTTTAAGATGTACTCTTTTATTTCAGAGCTTCTCTTAATAATTCATTCGTCGCAGTTACTTTTTTGCAGCAGAAATGACTAGTGGTGTTCCAAGCGACTCATTTCTTTAAGGTTTTCGACATGCCTTGAGGACATCTTGGTAAGTGTTGCCTGGTTTTAAACTACAGCAGGCCACACAGAAGGGATCCCTGGGATTCGATAATTTTCTCTTTTAAAGCGATTAATGAACACTTTAATGTTTTTTCACCATGACTAGGGCCAAGGCTTGGGTTAATCTGCAGATGCAATGAAGTGTAGATCAATTATTTTAAAATAGTGGTTTGGACCGTGGGGCCTAATGCGTAAAAGCTGCATACAAAAAAGGGGCTTTTGCCACAGTTAATAGTTAATACAATTTCCTTCATCAGGATTTACACACACACAAAAAAACTTTCTATCAGAGCTATATATGTGTACTTATACTGGTATTTTGATTTTAGTGACTTATACAAGATACAAGAATTAACTTCAGCTGAATTCAACAGTCATTTTGAAGCCATTGTTCATCATTTTACAAATATCTTTTGCATAATTGACTTTCAGACGTCAAACTGTGATTGACTTGGACCAAAGTAAGTGATACCTAAATTTTAACTAGTAGTAACATTGACAATTCACATCAATTTAAAACAATCTCTTAGCAAGTATCTGAACTGTGCCAAGGCCAGCTATATTATTAAGACATCAAATGGTAACATAAGCTAGTTTAGTATATAAACAATTACTAATGCATTAAACATACACTACCATTCAAAAGTTGTTTTTTTAAGATTTTATTTAA